CTAGTAATGGCTCACAAGTGCTGCTGATTTTCAGCCAAAACGAGTTATAATTACAAACCATCAAAGCCATGTGAAAATACAGTTGGACAGTTTAAGGTCCACAGCAGTTCACGGGTTCTAAGGAGAAAACAGAGAACGTGGTCCAAGAAGCTCTTTGTAGTTCTCTCGCCATATGGAGCCACAAAGGTACAGTGGGGGAATCTTCCGTTCTCCCATGCAAAATTCTATCCATTAAAACAGGACGATTCTTGAAATGCAACTGACCCAAACAAGCTGTTTCCATAAACACTGCAAAATACTAAACCAGCCTTTCAGCAAATAATGTGGAATACAATCAAGATTTAATGACTATTTGCAGAGAAGAATTTAGAAAATGTCGAACGCCCACAGCTGCAGAGTCACTCACATCCATCTTTCCCTCTCAATTACTTCTGCTAATTGGGGAATAGCTTTGTTCAAATGCAATTCACCTGATCACTGAAACCATCAATTACTTGGAACTGCAGATAAATCTAGTCTTGCTGCCCATGAAACACCCAGGGCCTCATCTGCATTCCGGACACACACCAGCAGCAGCTGCTGATCAAGAGACACCACGCGTCTCCTCTGAAGCAGAAACGTAAAAGGCTTCAATGCTGGTTGCAGGCAGGTTCCCCCCCCCCCCACATGTCTACAAGTGATTGAAGATGCAAGCTTGCCCTACGAGGTGGGCACTGCTAGAGCTGGAAAGGAAGCAGAGGCAAGACTGAAGTGTGTCCACAAACAGTTGGGCAGATTTGCCTGGCAGCCCAGACTGAAGGCAGCAAAAACAGCTGATGAGGAGGATCAGAAAAGATGCACTGCGGGCAGAAGCCACCGTGCCTGGGACCGGCAGCCGGAGCCCGTCCTGGTGAGGCGAACCCTGTTGCAAAACCAGCCATGAACCCCAGCTGAGGCACACGACGGCTCCTGCCCCAGACCTGAACAGGGCACGCTGGGCCTGAGGAGCCTCTTCTGACCTGTTCCCCCCCCCCCGCAAAAAAGGAGAGGTTCCTCCAGCGGCCCCATCTGACGAGGGAAGCCCCTCAGGGAGCGGGGGCGGGCACATGAGGGACACCACTCTTCCCCAGAGAAGAGGCCCATTTGCACAAGCTTGCATATACCGAGTTCAGAGACCTAGGTGCCAATCAAAAGGACATTTGGCAGAAGTACTGTACGGTGCTCCTTGCTCAAAGGGCGGTGGTGGTGGTTGTTGGTGGGTAGAGCCAGGAGCCAGCGACTTGTATGCTTGCTCCTCAGTCCGCCGCCCAGGCACTGTTCAGTGCTGCTGATGGGCAACCACGGGGCCTCTCCTCCAACTCCTGGGGGTTCCTTCCCTTTGATTAATCCAAGGTGAGCCAGACACACCCCTCCAAGCAGAGGACGCCTCTCAAAGCAGGACAGCATCCTAGCTATTCCCACCACCACCACCCCCCCCGAAATAGAGGATCCTGTGTCTTCTCCGGCAACCCTTTTGATGGGCTAAGAACCTGGGGTCGGCACCATGTCGGTGTGATTTGGATTATGAAAACGAAGGGGT